CCAGGTCGGGGACTCAAACCGTGGTCGACTATGTGGGAGTCCAGTGACATAGCCATTATGCCAACTGCTGGTCCCTTTCTTCTAATTATTTTATTTAACTTTATTTAATTTTATTTTAAAAAATTGATCAGAAAAGGATGGGGAGAGGGCAAGAGAGAGAGAAAGAAAATGAGGGGCCAACAGGTGGTGTGGTGGATAAGGGTGCTAGATTCCCACATGGTCAACCATAGTTTGAGTCCCAGACCTGGTAGCTTGCTTTCTCACTTTCCCTTTCTCTCACTCTCTGTCTGGCCAAATTAAAAAATAATAACAAACGGAATTAAATAAATAAATAATTCTTTTTTTAAAAAAAAAGAGAAAGAGAGAAAAGAAAAAAAGAAAGAGAAAGAAAGTGAAAAATCCAGGTCAAGGACTCAAACTGTGGTTGACCATGTGGGAGTCCAGCACCCTTGACCACCACACCACCTGCCAGCTCCACCCTCTTAATTTTTTTTATAATTATTTCATTTTTTAATTTATTCATTCATTTATTTTAATTTGACCAGAGAGAGACACAGAGAGAGAGAGGAGTTTTGTTTGTTGTTGTTTTTCCAGTTCTCTGAGGCATGATGATAAGTTATCTACTTTCCATCTTTCCATCCTTTTCTCTTAATTTTTTTTTTTTTTTGGAGAGATTTTCACTGTAGGGCGCGTGTGCTCGCCAGACAGACAGAGAGAGACATAGAGACAGAAAGCGAGAAATCACCCCCCAGGGGGGATGGTCACGCCGCAATCCCTTCTCCTTCATTCTCCTCTCGGGATCTTGGGCACGCACGCACACGCACCCGGCGTGAGTTTTAAGCCACCGGGTCCGGGACACGAACCGCGGTCGACTACGTGGGAGTCCAGTGACATAGCCATTACGCTAACTGCTGGTTCCCTCCCCCTCTTAATTTTTTAAAAATAAAAAAAAAAGAAGAATATTTGGTGACACATAAAAATATTGTGAAATTCCACTTCAGTGCCCACAAACAAAGTTTGGTTGGAACACGTCCACGTCCACTTATTTACATCTCGTCTGTGACTGCTTTCACATAAGGACAGAGGCAGGCAGTTGCAACAGAGACCGCGTGGTCAGCAAAGGCTAAACTACTCACTGTGTGGCCACTGGCAGAAAAAAATCGCCAACCCCAGGTTAGACTAAGAAAACAAAGGGACTTCAAGGAGTTCATGGGAAGTGCACATGTAAGAAAAATTATGCATGGATTTCAAGGGTTTTTTGTTGTTTTTTTTGCACCAAACTAGACTTTTAATTCTGTTTTTCCTTGAACTTTTTAGAGTCCACTCATAGAGCAATTCTGCTATTTCCATTAATGATTTGGGACACTAACTACTCTGAGGCATCCCTCTCATCAGGTTGTGGGGAGATTAAATGAGGGTTTTGTGTGTGTGTGTGTGTGTGTGTGTGTGTGTATTGTGTATTATTTATAATGTGTGTATGTATATATATATATATATATAATGTGTATATATATTATAATATATATTATAACATACTATAAATATATATTGTATATTCTATAATATATAATATTTATGAATATATA